ATACCGAGTTTGGTACAACAGTAGTATAAAAACTTTTCTTTGAAAGTTTCTTTGGTACCACTGTTATACCAAACATCTTTTATACAAAAAGGTAAAGTTTTGGATTTGAAGGGAAATATGAAAAAAAGTTGGATTCAAATGAAACCAAAATTTTCAAATTTGGAAAAATGATGTACTGAGTTTGGTACAACAGCATTACCAAAGAAACTTTTCTCAGAGTCTCTTTGGTACTACTTCAATACCAAACATCTTTTCTAAAAAAGGAAAAATTTAGGATTGAAGGTAAATATGAAAAAAGTATTGGATTCAAATGGAACCAAAATTTTCCAATTTGAGAAAATGCTATACTGAGTTTGGTACCACAGTAGTGCTAAAGAAATTTTCCTTCGAGAGTTTCTTTGGTGCTACTGCTATACCAAACATCTTTTCTGCGAAAGGTAAAATTTTGGATTTGAAGGGAAATATGGAAAATTAGGTTAGACTCAAATGGAACCAAAATTTTTGAATTTGGGAAAATGTTGTATCGAGTTTGATAACACAGTACCAAACATCTTTTCTAAAAAAGGTAAAGTTTAGGATTTGAAGGATAATATGGAATTAGGCTTGGATTGAAATGGATACAAAAATTTTCAATTGGAGAAAATTCTATACCGAGTTTAGTACCACAGTAGTACCAAAGAAATTTTCCTTCGAGAGTTTCTTTGGTGCTACTTCTGTACCAAACATATTTTCAAAAAGTGATAAAGTTTTGGATTTGCAGGGAAATATGAAAAAACTGCTAGATTTCAAGTGGAATCAAAATTTTCCAATTTTGAAAAAAAATTTACCGAGTTTGGTACAGTAATAATAGGAAAGAAAATTTTCTTCGAGAGTTTCTTTGGTACTACTGTTATACCAAACAACTTTTCTAAAAAAAATGTTTTAAATTTGAAGGGAAATATGAAAAAAAACTTGGATTCACTTGGAACCAAAATTTTTGAATTTGGAAAAATGATGTATCTAGTTTGGTACAGTAGTAGTACCAAAGAAATTTTCCTTGGAGAGTTTCTTTGGTACTACTACTTTACCAAACATTTTTTCTAAAAAAGGCAAAGTTTTGGATTTGAAGGAAAATATAGAAAAAGTTTGGATTCAAATGGAATGAAAATTTTCCAATTTGAGAAAATATTGTAGCGAGTTTGGTACAACAGTAATATCAAAGAAAATTTTCTTCGAGAGTTTATTTGGTACTACTGATGTACAAAACATCTTTTCCATATTTCTTTGGCTTATTTTTCACTCAACAACCACATGGCTCAGCATTAATATAAAAACTTGTATATATAAATAAAGCTAAAAGAGGAGGTGCAAACTAAACTTGAATTTATCCAACTACGGGGTCTTTTTACTCTTGTCCTGAAAAAAATAACATTAATTAAGTACCATGAGACAAATTATTAGAAGTGGTATATTTTTTTTCTTAACCAAATTGTTCATTGTTATTTAATCATGATTGAACAAGTGCCAAAGATTATATTTTATAAAGAGATGAATGTGTTTAAAGGATAAATCCAAATCTTAATAAGATAAGAAAACTAATAATTACAATATTTACAATATCCCCTCAAGCTTTTGCGTATATATCATATGCTCTAAGCCTTGGTAAAAATATATATAAGTTGAGCAAATATTGTCTATATCTATCTAGAATCTTTTCTTGGATGAAGTAACAATCAATTTGAATATTCTAGGTCCTCTTCCGAAAAATCGGGTTAGAAATTGCATGATTGTAACAAAGTAGTTTCATAGGACGTTCACAGTTCTTCAATCAATTGTTTTAACCAGATAATTTTACAAGTTGCAACTCTCATTGCATGTTTCTCAGCCCTATGTACTTGACTTGACTACTATAATTTGATTCTTACTTTTCCAAGAAATCAAATTTCCTTCAAAAGGATACAATAGCCCAAAATAAATAATCCATTTGAAAAAGAACCTGCCCAATCAACATACGAGAAACTATAAACTTCAACATGCCCTTTTGTCTTCATATAATAAAATCTTTTACTGATGCTCCTTTTGATCTGTCAAATTATTTTTGACAATGCTGTTCCAACGAGAATCACAAGGAATCAAAGAATGCTATTACCGGGCATGCAAAGTAGAAAAAGTGCAGTTAGACTTATCCCCTATGTAGCACCGATACCGATACGGGACACGTGACACGATATGACACGACACTCCGACACGTTAATTCTAAAAACGTTAGATTTTGACATGTTAGGACACGTTTTGATATTAAATAATATTTTTAATTTATGTAGTGTATGTTATATTTAATATTCAATAACTTAACAAAACAATGAATCTAAACTTATAATACTCATAAATTTTGCAAAGAAACATAACATATCCTAAATATTTATATTAAACTCAATAAAATGATAATCGTAATCCAACGAATTTAATAGTTGGAACTAAAAACTCAACGCAACGCAACCTTTGAACTTTTTTTTGAATTTCTATAACGCGTGTTGGAGTGTCGGGGAGTGTCGGACACGACACGTTAGAATTTTTGAAGTGTCAGTGCTTCATAGCTTATCCCTAGGAATAACGAACACAAACAAAACCCAAGAACAATCAACTCTATCTTTGATGACTTATACCCCTTTTATTTGTTGTGTTTTACTTTAATGAACAGAATCCAAGAAAGATTAATTTAATTTCATATAAGGAAATACTAGTCTCATGTTATATAAGACTAATATTTCATGTCATAGACACAAAATATGTGAATTCCACTCTTTTAAAATAAATAAATAAATAAGTAGACCCCACATATTTTGTCTCTATGACATAAGATACTAGTCTTCTACAACATGAGAGTAGTATTCCCCATTCATATAATAATATTTGAATCTTCATTTTCAAGAATTAGATTATTTAGTACATACTCTATTTGTTATGTAACATGGGCAAAAAAATTAATTTATTGCTTTTTTAATAAAAAATTACGAAAATGTAGTCATTTTGAAATTAATTATGACAATATAGCAGTCAAACACGCCCACATGGGACGTGTTCCAATAAAGAGAAACATGCCCATGTGGGGCGTGACCTAAGCGTGAGTCACGCCGACATGGGGCGTGACCAAGTTGGAGAGAGACACGCTCCATCTAGGCGTGTTTCACCAGGTGCTGTCACGTGTCACAAAAGTCAACAGTTTGACCGTAAAACTTTGGAAGTCCATAACTTTTGACTCGGGTATCCGAATTAGGTAATTTTTTTTTTTGATTCAACATAACTTTTCGAGATCTACATAATGACACCTCATTTGACATATTTTGTCTCTCACAAAAAAATTGAATTTACAATAATACCATAATTATTAAAAATGATACCATAATTATTAAAAATGACATGACTTTGTTACCTTATAATTATTACTAAAAATAATCTAACATTTTTATAATCATGAACAAAAATTTAAAAATCAAAATAAAACGAAAAGCACTCACTTAACTTTTTAATATAAATTATTCGATATTCTGTCACCGACAGATGTTAACCGAATAAAATTATAAATTTCATAAAATTCTTCATTCAAATTTTTAATATATATCTCAATAACATACATAATTAACCTTATCATAACTTACCATAATCATAAGGATCTTTATTATGAATGTTTCTAATCATAACAATGGTTTTCTGCTTATTAATTTGAGTTTAAACGTTCTTACGGTATTATTATTGTAAATTCATTTTTTTTGTGAGAGACAAAATATGTCAAATGAGGTGTCATTACGTAGATCTCGAAAAGTTATGTGGAATCAAAAAAAAATTACCTAATTCGAATACCCGAGTCAAAAGTTATGGACTTCCAAAGTTTTACGGTCAAACTGTTGACTTTTGTGACACGTGGCAGCACCTGGTGAAACACGCCCAGATGGAACGTGTCTCTCTCCTCGGTCACGCCCAGATTGAGCGTGTCTCTCTCCAACCGATCACGCCCCTATGGGACATGTTTGACTGCTATATTTTCGTAATTAATTTCAAAACGACTACTTATTTGTAATTTTTTATTAAAAAAGTAATAAATTAATTTTTTTGCCATGTAACATGCCTTTGCAATTTTGAAACACATGCACTTAGAGGTTTTATACCAAATGAAATTAATATTTTTTTCTCTCTTTAATTAGTTTTTTTATTATTATTTGCCTGCATCAAAAAATACTCATATAATGCAAGAAATAATTGATAAAAAAAATTAAAATGACCTCATGATTTGAATATTACACTGACCTTCCTTATTTTCCAAATAAAACTACTTCAAAATAAGCTAATATCTTAACGCACTATAATTTTCCCCTCATTTACTCATTGAAATTATAACAAGCAACTATATCAACGAAAAGAGAACTCAAATTAATTCGTTAATAATTAATAGGAAGTATGAGTAAACGATGCTTTCAGCAATCAAACTTCTTGCTTTCCAAGTAAAGCATTTTCACCAGCATATTGTCACTTAGCACTTAGCAGCTATCCAATTTGACTAGCATTATGAGATATAGCACAAAAAAAGATTGACACAAAAATTTAACACTACATCCAAGGATAGCTTTATCTTAACAAAAGACCGAGTTCATGTTATGGTCTTGATGATGATTCATATCTAAGAACATTCAAATATAGGGGTTGTAACGTTAAATACTATACTACCAAAGCCAAACGAATAGTGGATTCTCCATATTGCAAAGAAAATAAACTTTTCCCTCATTGCTGCTTTACTGAATAATAGCAATAGAATCAGCATTAAGATATGAACACAACCAAATAAAGATAGGAGAAAAATTATGAGCCACTTTAGCTCAAAGGTATAATAAATTTCATTAATTGAATGCACAAAACAACAAACCTATTAATCAGCTTAGTTTGGAACATCAAGTCACTCCAATCCTTGTCAAGGTTTCAATTGCACAAGAAACAAATCCACTGGTCTCAGCACCAGGCAATACTATCTATTTTACACATTGTAGGTTTGAATGAAAAGCATTCTTCACAATAATGAATTAGTTCCCAGGACCACCAAAGAGGTAGTCCAAGGAAGATCCACCACCAGGGGCAGCATGAACCTTGGTAGAAGGTCGATCCTGCACTCAAGAGGAAATCATGATTAAGAACAATTCATCAGTATCAAAGCAAAAGCGTAGAATTAAGCCAATTCTATTGGGTCAAATGACGAAAAGGTACAGTAAGACATGCTGGTTGTTGTTCATTACTTTTTCCTCTATATATAAATCATTACTATTTCACTCATGCTGAAAACTCTAATTACATTGCATCATCAAATGCCTCTGCTGAATTCAACACAAATAACAAACTGTCTTTTACATTAAAAGCATCGTACAAAAACATTCTATGATCAACAAAGCACGACGGACATGAATCATAAGGAAAATTTATATTGGAAGACACCATAAAAACCAAAATATGAAATTGCTACATGGCATGCTACACAGATGCAACATTGGCAGCAGTTTTTATTTCGCATGTGTCATAAAGCACAAATGAGAGACCATAATTCTAGCTCATGCAGTCACAGAAAGAAAATGGGACTGGGGAGGGAGAGGAAGAAATATTAATTCATGAGATTGAGATTGCATCATAAGGTCATCTGTCAATCAAAACCCAATAATTCAGATTAAATAAACTACTGAACTTTAAGAACATACAGTACTCGTAATCCATAGAAGATAACCAAGAAAAATTAAGAAAGCATGCATAAAGTGCATCTTATAAATGTACAAGAACAGAATTTCTGTTACTCGAACATCTTCTTGTAATTTACACGGTTTCCTTACTACCAATAGGGAAAGGAACCATGCTTAAGAAGCTGGGCCCAGATATCAGAAATATTTCTACTTTTTTTGGATTACATCCGAGTATCCCCACAGCCGATAGCCATGAGACTAATCCCTCGCCCCGGGTCAGCGCACAAAGCGGTAAGGGACAAGATGCTTAAGGGAGAATTAGTTGCTTAAGGGACGAGATGCTGAACCATCACGCCCACCTTTGAAGTTCAAATATTTCTCACAAGAAATTTATGCATATAGGATTTCCCACAATGAAGTAATATTGTAATTCACAATCCTAGTACTAACTTTCTGAGTTTGTTTTGCCCCAGGCATAATTTGTAACCTCTAACCTTGTAACTTCTTCTTTACTTTTTTGTACTGAACAATATCAGTAAATGATAAGCAAGAGGAGGAGACTCCAATCCTCATCTGATATACTATGAAGCTTTCTAATATTTCCTAGGCTAAGGTAAGTGGCAATAATATTTAGAGCAGAAATACAAAGGAGAGCTAATTATGCAGCACAATTCAAATGATCATGATAGAAAAGTTGACAAGGGCTATACAGTTAGAAAGTTTCCACAGTTTTGTCCATCCGCACGATGATAATTGTTTTTGAGATTCCCAGGAATTCCAGCCGGAATTCCCTTATCAATTGGTGGTGAAGTAACACTGGGAATTCCGGCTTGAATTTGCTTATCAATTGGTGGTGAAGCAACACTAGCATTTTGAGAACGCCCACCATTTGCAGAATGACCTTGATTGTTTGCACTCTGGACATTGCTGGCAGTCTCTTCACTGCCAAAGAGATAGCCCAATGAACTCTGACCACCACCACTACTTATTCCTCTACCCATTTTCTGTCAGTTCAGAACTTGAGCGGCAAAACCTACATAACAGGATTGCATATCTTTTTATTTTCATAAGAAATTTAACCTCCAGGATTCATGGAATGACAAAAAGATAACCTCAAATGCAGTAGATAGAACTAAGAGCCATCAGAACTGAACAGAAAGCAACAACTATCAACAGTGTGGAACAGAAAGTGTAGCTGTAGAAAATGAAATAAATAGAGATATGAAAACTTCGAGGATGGCAAAATTTTGATTTGTGAATATAGTGGTCGTCAGAATTATTGAAAAGGTTTTCACTGCCCTTGCTTGGAAGAGTAAAATCAAGATGAATAAATGTTATTTTCCCAATCATTACTTTTATGGATGAACATTTTGAGTATAACATTTGTAAGACACTTTAAATTATATAGCCATTTTATTGACACAAAAACATAAATTTCCATTTCCCTTTCATCTCGTATATCTCCTGTTCAAGTGAACAAAAGTACTAAAGATGATGAGATGAAAAGGGCACCCAGTCCTGTTTCTTCTATCCCTACAAATCAATCAAAATTTCATCTCATTGTATCTCTTCTAATTCCATTTTTACACACTGCTTTCTGTACAGATCAAGCGAAAAAAATAAATAATTCCAAGCCCTTCTCACCTTCCTATGCTCGAAGTGCATGGACCCAATAGGTAAAGGCACAAAATGGAATAGGACAACCATTGAAATCAGATGCTAAATCTCAGAACAAGTAACCCCATCAACAAATATAAGCTAAAGAAGCCAACTTTAGTTGATTTAACCATGAAAAAACACCAACAAGAACATGTCACAACAGTAATCTTGAAATGCCATTTGATTAATCCCCAACAACCCCACCATCACTCCAAACTAAAAAAAAATAACAAACATAATCTTCAAAAAAAGCTAAACCCCACATATTATTTTTAGTGAAAATGAAAAAAAAAAAAAGAATCCAAACAAGCATTCAAGAAAAATTGTGACAGCAATTGAAATGTATAACAGAAAACAACAACCACATGAGTTAACTCTAAAACAACATATGAAACATGAGAACTGAGATCTGAGATTGATGTACCTTGCTGCTAGCAACAGAGTCGGTGATGTGCGAAGCTAGTCACACACTATGATTATGTAACGGGAAAAAAACATAAAGAGATATTAATACATAGGAGCCACTGATTTTTTTTTTCAAAATATAATAGACAATTACTTTTTTACCCCATTATTTTGGTTTTCTTATGTATCAACTGAGTGAGTAGATTGTTTTAGGAATGAGAGTAGGTGGTTCCTTATCAAAAATAGAAAAATATATATATAAAAAAGAAAATATTTATAAAAGTAAAAATAATGAAAATGTATTTTTTTATATTTAATATAAAATATTCCGAGCGATTGGTACATTATAATATTAAAACTATTTTCCCAAATTTAGCTTGCTTTCGGGTCCCACACCCACACCCATGTATGGGACATGCATAGGAAACGCAGTACTCCGGGCTATAATTCTGATCCATACCTAGGAAACACAATAATGGTAGTCACGTGCATAACCCCTGGTTGTTGTACACGCGTATACCCATTTGGGGTTTTTAACTTCTTTAATTTTTTAATCTGATATTTGATTTACGATATTTATTAATAGTGTCATTAAGAGTCTGTTTGGATCCTCTTATTTTTAAACTAAAAGCTACTTATAAGCTAAAGCTAAAAAAAAGAGCTTAAAAAAAGAAGCTAAAAACTGTTTGAAAATTACATAAAAATTTTAGCTTAAAAATTACTTAAAAGCACATATTTCAAGAAAATTATCTCTCTCTCTTTATCACTCTTCATTTAAAAAAAAAACACAATTCAAGAAAAATAGATAAGAGCTTAAAAAAAAGCTCCTCCTAGGAGCTTTTAATTTTCAGCTTTCTTCTTCATTATAAAAAAAGAGTTTTTTTGTTATAAGAGCTTTTTTCAAAACCTGTTTGGCCTAGCTTATGTTTATAAGTAGCTTCTAGCTTAAAAAAAGAAAAAAGAGGTTCCAAACAGGCACTAAGTGATGCGAGAGAGATCCAATGACACTAAGTGTCTTGACCCTCCTCCTGTGTCACTCACACATTATAAGATTGTACCAAGTGACACAATCTTGTTAGTCTTGTTACCATAAAACTTCGGAAAGTCATAACTTTTGACTTGGTATCTAAATCAGATGATTTTTTTTATTTCACATAACTTTTCGAGATCTATGCAATGACACCTCATTTGACATATTTTATCTCTCACCTATGTAGCACCGATACTGACACGGGACACGTTACACGGCACGACACGACACTCCGACACGTTAATTCTAAAAAATGTTAGATTTCGACATGTTAAGACACATTTTGATATTAAATAATATTTTTAATTTATGTAGTGTGTGTTATATTTAATATTCAATAATTTAATAAAAAAATAAAGTTAAACTTATAATACCCATCAATTTTGCAAAGAAACACAAGATATCCCAAATATTTATATTAAACTCAATAAAATGGTAATCATAATCCAACGAATCTAATAGTTGGAACTAAAAACTCAATGCAACGCAACCTTTGAACCATTTTTTGAGTATCTACAACGCGTGTTGGAGTGTCGGGAAGTGTCGAACACGACACGTCAGGAAAAAAGTGAAACTATTGTTGCAAATTTGAAATATGTTAACGGAAGATAAAATATGTCAAATAAAGTGTCATTGCGTAGATCTCGAAAAGTTATGTGAAATAAAAAAATCATTTGATTTAAATATCCGAGTCAAAAGTAATCGCCTTATGAAATTTTACGGTAACGAAATTAACGAGATTGTGTCGCTTGGCACAATTCCATGAATGTCCCAGAGGAGGGGGGCATCACTCAATTGAAGGAAAAAAGAAATGTGTGAGTGACGCGAGGAGGGTCGCGACACTTAATGATGCTGGGTTTTTCTCACGTTACTAAACAACCCCAATTGATAAATATCATAAATCAAATACAGATACATAGATTGATAAATTAAAATCTCAAAAAACCAAAGAGCCCGCGTATACTAGTATTCAAAAAACAGAACGGAGAAGTGTTATATTACTGTGTAGATTTTGTTTTGTACCAGCATTTTGATCGGGAAAACATATATGCACAAAATACATGAAGTATGTGAGTAAGTTATAATGAAAATAAGGTTTTACTCAGTGTCATTAAAATCGGACCGACTCGACCGGGTCGACTTAGGAACCGATAAACCGGTTATATAACCGGTTCAGTTTAAGCAACGGACCGGCCATGCATCAAAACCGGTGCGACCCGGTCTGACCCGGCCGGTTTTCATAAAAATCGGTGATCCGGTCGGTTAACCGGTGACCCGGCCCGGTAAAAAAAAATAAAAAAATTCTAAAACTTTTTTTTTCAAAAAAAATCATAATGGACATATTTGAATATTTTTTTGCTTATTGACTTACATAAGTTATGTACCTACAACGCTAATATTATCTCAATTATGTACTATGCAGAAAATTTTGAATTAATTTATAGTTAGAGATGTCGTTTTCTGAACCTAAAGCCGCGTATCACAATCATTATATTTTTGTTTGATCTTTTATTAGACGATAATATGTGATTTATTATTTTTTATATTTATTATTTGAAATTTTTATCATTTTTTTAGATATTTGAGTATGTTTATAATTTTTTACTATAAATTATAAAATTGTAAATAATTACCGAGTCATGCGGTTGAACCAGTGATCACTGGTTGAACCAGTGACCCAGTACCTCGACCGAGTCATTGACCGGACCGGTTTTAATAACATTGGTTTTATTTATCAATTGTTAACTTACATAAAAGAGCATGAGTATGAATTTGTATCAATATTATTACGTCATATTTAATAACTAATTAAAGTTGTCCATAATGGTCGTGACAGTTTTTGGATGAGTTTTAAAAAAGGTTCGCTCTTTTCTGCAGTTACTGCATATAAATTATCTGCAGTAAGTCTAATACGACGTTGTTTTGGGACAATAATTATGATATTTTTGTAATTTTAATTTATTTCAGTATTATTATAGTCTTTATAATTATAATTTTATAATCTTTCGATCCTAAAACAGTAAAACGACGTCGTTTTGAAAATTAACTGAAGAAATATTTTTCTGTTTAAAAAAAAGGGACTTTTTATTATTTTCTTTTTTTAGAATGAACTTTTTTACAAATTAAAATTATTTTACGATGAACCACATAAAAATTATTTTTAAATAAAAATTAGTTGAATGTTAAAATTAATAAAAAAATTTATAAAATTAGTGGATATGTGATGGTAACGGTGATGGGTAGAATGGCTAGAGTGGGATTGAGGTAAAATTAATTTTTTTTATAAAATATTTAACTTTTAACTTATATATATATTTTTTTTGGAAACAAGGACGCCACTTCTTAAAATAAATATTATTTTAATTTTTTTTTCTTTTTTCTAAAAGTGTTATCTAAACACATAAAATTCTTCAAAAATATTCATCCAAGCGCCGCTTAAAGTTTGGGTATATGAAGGCTTAGTTTTTTTTTATGAAATTGTTTTATGAAAACAGAATTGATTTAATCAATTGTAAATTTAGATATATAATTATCATGGTTTTAAATTTGGGCAAAATAACGTTGTACTCTTCAACTTTTGTACTCATCTAAATTAGGGAAATTTTTAATATACTCCAGGATCATCGTATTCCTTCCATTTCAAAATTGACATCTGTATTAATTTCTTTTTTTTCTCTTCTCTCTCCTCAACCTTTTCTCTCTTTCTCTCACCTCAGTCCCACCCAATTTTTCCCACTACTGAACCACATTAAATTCGCTCCTAAATTAGATCTTGGTATTTAAAAATATACAAATGACTCTAACTGCATGTTAGATATAAGACAATATTTTTCAATTTTCATTTTGTTTTTATTAACAGTTATAAAAATTATATCTTATTTTCGGATTTTTTTTTTTTGGTAGACT